GAGCAAGAAAGGAAAAGGGCACGGGCGGAGGGGGGGGGGCAGAGGCTGGGGGAGGCGCCCGTGGCCCCTGCCCGGTGCGTGGGGCTGCAGCCACTGGCCCGTGGGCAGGGAGAAAGGGGGCTGAGCCATGGGGAACAGTCCTGCTCCGGCTGCAGGGAGCGGAGCCGTGGCCGAGCAAGGAGCAAAGAGGCCACGGGACGATGCCTGTTGAGGAGGGAGCCCAATGGTGCTGCCATCGCGGCCAGCGAGGCTGGAAGGGTGCCGGCAGCCTGGCGGTGCCGGCAGGAGAAGTGCAGAGGCGCCAGGATGGCACGTGCCGGGGTCACCCGCGCCAGCCGGGCTGGACGGTCGAGCGGAGCAGCAATCATCTCCCAAGACAAATCAAAGGCAAGCGCGGGGGCCTCCCCTTGATGTTTTAATCAGTTTGGTGTCGCCGGAGCCTTTCATCAAACTACAGAGGAAGGAAACGTCAATTAGCAGCCACCTGCCTCTGACGCGGGCCGGGGAGCTGCCTGCCAACCAGACCGGACCGGGATGCGGGCGAGGGGCAGCCATCAGAGCGTCCTTGCAAGTGTTTCACGTCCCCGCAGCTCGTCGCGGTCACGGATGGGTCCCAGTGGCGCGCTGGCAGGGAGGACGCGGTGACGGGGCTGTCCCCACCCAGCGCTGAGCCGCTCACTACAGCTGGGAGCTCATGAATATTGAACACGTGGGGAGGTTATTCATCTTTTACGTCCCGCAAACCCCAGCTCATTCTGAAAAACCGCCCGGCCTTAGCATTTTTCTCATCTCCCCCTAATTTGTTATCTCCTCCTTTAAACAGATGGCTCCCGAAATCCCATTTATAAAGCGCCATGCTCAGCACTGGCAGGATGAGCACCCAGGCAGGCCAAGTCCCGGCCTCAGTCCCAACTGCCGGGACCCCTGGACCCTCCCAGCCCCACTCTTCCCTGAGTGAGTGCGGGGTGGAGGTGACAGCGACCTGGGAACAAGTTTGGGAGCTGAAAATGCTGGGACAGACAGGCACACACAGGGCCAGCATGCCCCCAGGCACAGGGCAGCCAGTCCCCATTAGCTGAGTGGCCCTGATTTATCCTGGCCCCTCGACAAATAAATGAGAGCGTTTGCTGCCGACAGGAGCGTGGGGTCCCCTGACATCGTGGCGGCGTGTGAGTGATACGGTGCTGGTCCTCACCCCATGAAGCAGAGCCGCTACCCCTGGCAGAGAGGAGTCCTCCGCCCCGGCACATCCATCGTGCCTGGCTCCAGCCACCCTGGGCAGGGAGGGGACTGCAGGGACTGAGCTGAAAGTGGCCGGTCTTGGCACCGCGAGGCTGCCGGAGGACGGAGCCGGCACCCAGATGCTGGGGCGCCCGTGTGTCCCGCGGGGATGGGGATGCGGAGCGGGCTGCTCCTTTCCTCACAGTCCCCTGCCTCACCTGTGCGTGGCCCTTCAGAGCACGGTCACGCCGCAGCATGTGTCACCTCCCTGCCGGGAAACACTTGGGATAAGCAAGAGGGTTATGCCCTGCAAATACCCACAGCCAGGCCCCCAGGGGAAAGGCAGAGCCGCACAATCACCCCACAAACCCTACACCCACTGCCTGCACTGCAGCACCCAAGCCCAGCCCGTCCCAGGGACGGGTGCCAGCGGGTGCCGCTGTCCTGGGGCATGGGGGCTGAGCGCAGCCCCGGCCGAGAACAATGCGCTTAATTAGTGGAGACGCCCGTCACCAAGCCCCATTACCAGACTCCCAACTTCATTAGCACAGGAAGGCTGCACGTAATTAAAGTAATGAGTTTGCAATTTTACTGCAAATAGTGCTGGAAGAGCCCCGCTGCAGCTGGGCAATCACCGCTTGTGGGCAGCGTGGGCCCCGCAGAGCATCTGCAAGTGGGTCAGGACAGGGAGAGGCGCGTGTCCCTGCAGCCCCCCGGAGCAGTGATCTCCGGCCAGGTCCCCTCCTGCTCCATCCTCACTGGAGGTGCCAGGGCCAACCCCACCCTCCCGAGGGCCACGTCCCAGGGCACCCCAGCTTTGCTGGCCTTGCAGCCGCAAAAAACCCAAAATAAGGCAAAGCAAGGGCCCAGCACATAGTGGTGGCAAAGCCACCGTGGCTGTCCTGTGCCCAGACGGTGCCTGTCCCCTCTTCCTCGCAGCTGGGCCACAGCGCTGCCCATCGGTGCCAGCTCCCCGGACTCTGCAGGAACACAAGGAGGTGGCGTGGGGTACGTGGTGGCGGGTGCCGCATCTGCGCTGGCACGTCCCAGCCCTGGGAGGTGACAGCCCTAGAGACCCCACACACTCCCCCCTGCCCGGTCCCCCCCACGCCGTCCCTGCCGGGGCTGAGGCTTTAAACATCTCCAATGAAGTGAGAACTTCATTCTCCCTAATGATGCTGTTGTGCGGTTAATGACGGTGATTAAATTCCCCTGCACAGTGTGCTGCACCACGCTGCCAGCGCCTCTGGGTTGCGCTTAAAGGACAAGGGGAGAAGGGAAGGCAGCGCCGGCCGGCAGAGCTACAGCACTGCGAAGCTGAGGCTGGATCCTGACTTGTGCCAGTGTCCCAGGATGGCCCTTTGGGACCTCCTGGTGACGTCACCGGCTTTGCCATGCCGCTCAGTGGCACATCGCTCAGTGGCACATCGCAGACCTGCCAGGCCAGGGGACCCGGTGCCCTTGTCCTGCCCACCCGCCAGCCCCAGGAGGGGACAGCCTTCATGGCACGGGGGACCTGCCAGGCACACCAGCCTTCAGGGGCTTTTTTTGTCCTCGCTGTCACAGCCACTGGCCATACCTGGGCCACAGCGGGGCATTTCAAGCCGTGTCAGAGCTTCTGGGCTGTGTACACAACATTTAAATCTTTGCTGCTCAACCAGAGATGATCCAGGACCCCCTGTCACTCTGAAATGTCCCCGTACGCTCCTCGGCACACCGCGGCACGGTCACTGGGATACTCTGCGCACCCCCGCCGCTGCCTTGCATGGCTCCTCGAAAGCCACCGGGCCGTTGGGAGGTGGTAAGGCTGCAGCAGGGCAGCCTGCGCAGGCATCAGGATGCCCCTCGCCCCCCTGCCATCGTCCGCCCGAGCCACGGCTGATTAGCAGGAGCCACTCGCCACTTGCAGACAGAGGGATTAGCAGCTGCGAAGCCTGACAGTCGACTTTATTAACAAGGAATCAAAAGCCCAGCTGAGAGCCCAGCTGATCCGTCTGCTCCCGTCCCGGCTGGGGGGGAGGAGGGGG